CTCTAAAGATTAGGCCTATAATATATGAGTCAGGGTTTTGCCAATGATTGTACTAATGATTGTTTCGCCCCTCATACTCGCAATGTTTTTCTATTTTTTTAAAAGCTCTCTATAAAAATTACTAACTGTCTGTATAATCATACCGTTATAGTGCCAAAAGCACAATACATTAATTTTTTTACCTGTTCATTACAAATAGCTGCTGCGTTATTTGAAATGTATAAAAATAATTATTCATTAATTTTTCTATAGATACTTCAGCATAAAATTATTATTATTCCAGTCTCAATCGATCGATACAAGTTTGAAATCACCAGTATTGGCAGTATGCATATTAAGTTACATTACTCCGTACCATATATTTTGTCTCCCCTTCATTTTTCTTCATTTACTTTATACAGCCAACCATTGCAGCCTCTGGCATATTAATATTATGATGACTTAGCTCTACTAGGCAGAAACAGCAAAAATATAATTTAAGTATTTAAAGCATTCAATGACTAACAAGTAGGCTAAATGAAATTGCAAAGCTCTGAAAATAATAATTTTCTTGCTGTGAGTTTAAAAATATATATATTTTTTAGCAAGATGCATACCTCGGAATCTTTGGTTATGAACATAGCACTTTCTATTTATAATAAAAATTCATTTCACATGCTGACTGGCTGATAATACTGAGCTGAGAAATCAAAGTGTTGAATGCCTGGGTGTGAGTACTGGATCATTTCTAAGTTCTGTCATAAAATTTAAAATAAAACTAACCTAACTCGCATTTAACAAGGGAAGCAATTTGTCTTCAGTTAAGGAATGCTTGGAAATGGATGGTAAAATGGTATAGCCATGACGATGATAACATTTATTTATATATTTTGATACTTTTGTATCACAAAAATGAAAGCTCCATTTTTATTTTTGTTGCCGTATGTTTAGGCTTAGGGCAGTGTTTTCAATTGAAATATGTTAGTCACAACCCCCTCATGGGTCGCCTGACTGACAAAATGTTTTTGTGTGTAAGTTACACTGTAACATGTGCAATTTTAATTTTTCTTATTTTTATTTTCATTTTAAAATTTAATTATTATTATTTACAGTTTACAGTGATCTTTTTTATTTTTACTACAATCTAAGCTACATATAAATATAATAATAAAAACAATGATGCCTTTGGTACTTGTTAGATGTCGGCAGATAATTTTGTTATGTAGTTAATGTAGACGACGTTTTTACAAGGGGTCACAAAACCGGTCCCTTTTGCCAAAACCGGTATTTTCGATACCGGTACTGAAGTTTACGAATACCGGAATCTCGGTAATTTTGATATTTGGATAATTTTTAGTTGAGAGGTGAGGTTTTATAGATGAAATTATTGAAATAAAAACATTCAGAAAAAATGTCACATTTTGATTTTTAATAAGCTTCTAACAATAACACAAATGTTTAACTTCAGACTTTAATCGAACGAACAAAAATAATATTCTTAACTTTTTAATTTAAATAGTTTTATTAATCAAATATTAAAATAATTTGTGTTGTTTTAATCTTTGGCCAAATTTACAAAAAATGAAATTGTAAAAATGACAAAGTGTATAATGTTTGGTCACCCAACTTTAATGCTTTTTCTATTTTTATCAATGTCTCCATCCGTTGGTCTGGAAGTATTATCTTGAGTCTGAAGTTTCTTTTGTACCGGTACCGGTTTTCAATTTCAGTGTGTCTTCAAGTTCGTCATGGTCAGATCCAAGATGTTCAATTTCATTGTTCGTAGATATTTCCAACGAGGAATCCGCTGTCTGACCAAGCTTTTGAATATCCATGATATGTTTTCTCATCTGGTCGCAATCTGAACTTAGAAATAGGTCCAAATAATCACTGGAATGTGCAGACTTAATATGAGAGTGAAGGCCTGAAGTTGTAACTCCCAATGTTTTAAGTATCTTGTTACATCTAATACATTTAGCTGGAAGATTTTTCCATAGCTTTCAAGAAATAATGCCAAACTGATATCTTTGTTTTCAATAGTTTCATATTATGCTTTTCATATTTAGGTTTATTTTTTCAGGGTCCCCCATTTCTTTCTATCAAACTGACAGGAAAATAAATCATTAACAAAAAAATATTAATTCAATCAAATTGGTTTGACGTGTAAGACATTTTTTTTAATGCTAAATTTTCATGTGAATGTTTGGATAAGTGCGGTACATACAAACTGGGACATTCAGACTGAGACAAAATAGCTCGAAAATAAATTATGAGGTGAATGTAAATTATTAATATTGTTATCACAAAGTAGAAGTAACATAATTTTTCTGTGTCTTAAACTTAAGGTAGCCTATTTGATTATCGAAATACGGATATACTAATATTTTTAATTATGTAGGTTTTTTGGCATACATAAAAGAAATCAAGCAATCAAAAAATATTAATTAAAAGTTGACCCATGTGATTTGAGTGCAACGTGTTGTTATTTCCATACAAACTCTTAATGGAAGTCAAAATTCCATCTTCTTTCGACTATAAAAATCACTTATTTTTTAATAATATGAAAACATTAAAATTTACTAACCAATCACGTAACTTCACGCTGTGACTCGTCTCCACACACAATACACGCACGATGCAAGAACAAAACTAATCACAACGTCATGATTCTTGACAATTAAGAGTACCGGTACACAGATCTAGCCCGTCAGTCGGCTCTCTTTGAACTGGAGACACGTGGTGTGAGGGATTTGCACATCACATTAATTATTGATATGTCTTGCTTTAACTACGACGTGGAAACTAAGAAAAACGATTTTAAAAAAAAATTGAAAATGAAATCCCGGTTTTCATAAATGCAATCCCATTATTGTCGAGCATCATTTATGGTCCGGTATTCCGGTATTTACGAAAGTCGGGATCCCGATTTGCGACCCGTAGTTTTTACGTCATGAACCTAGCCTAGCAGACACCAAGCTTGAGACCCCATTTAAGGTGTGGCTAGCTAAAAATAGTCTCTTGGCCTTGTTTACAACTAAATAAAATTAATATACTGTATCCTGCAGAATTCTGGAGAAAACTGGAATGGAAAACATGCGTAAGGCGGTTCACGAAAAATGAGTTAAACAGACTTTAAAAGGGTACACTAGAGATTTTTTAGCTAGCATTTTATACCCTCCAGCTAAACAGGGGTCTGGGGGCCTCCGCCGGAAACTGTTTACTAAAATATGCTCTTTGTACCTATTTTGAGACCAAGAAATCATTTTAAATTTACCTTCACTTTTTAAATTTAATTTTAACCATCAGGCATGTCATAAACGAAAAAAATTAATTTTTCAGAAAAGGTGTTTGGTTTTAGAAATGGGACATTTAGGCGTCCCTAGAGACTTTTTCGGGACTCCGGGTACGATCGTGAAAAAACAGGACAATCATATTTTTACGGGATGTTTGGTCACCCTAGCCTAGACCAACAAACCTTGTGGAAAGGTCTTTAGCACTGTGGAGTACCAGGAAAACTAGTCAGGATCATTCAGAGTTCTTATCAAGAAATGACATACAGGTACACGAAGGTAGACTCACAGATGCCTTTAAAGTGGAAATAGGAGTCAGACAAAGATGTCTCTTGCCCCCCTTCCCATTCATCCTCACCATTGACTTGATAATGACAAAATCCATAGACAAAAAGAGGAACGGTAAACAGTGGACAATCTGGGAACAACTGAATGACCTAGACTTTGCAGACAACACCATTGCTCTTCTGTCCCACAACTAGCTACAAATGCAGTAAATACAAAAGACGTAGCCTGTAGCAACCATTTTAGCACAGCTCGGACTAGGTATCAATAAAAGCAAGACAAAGATCATGAAGGTAAACTCAGCCAACCAAGGGCATATCTTTCTGGCAGAAAAGGCACCGGAAGAAGTGGAGACCTTGACATACTTAGGCAACACCATCGACATAAATGGCGTACGGTATCCAAATCGGATGTAAGGGCTGGAATTGGAAGTCTAGATCAGCATTTGTGCTATTAAAGAAAATATGGGAGTCGAAGAAGCTGAAACCGCAATCTAAATTCAGAATCTTCAATACAAATGTTAAAACATTCCTACTATATGGAGCAGAAACTTGTGAAAACAACAGCGAACATTACGCAGAAAGTGCATACCTTCAGAAACACATGCCTTGGAATCTTAGAAAGATCCTGAACATCAAATGCCAAATATCATCACCAACAAAGATGATCTACTGGAAAGACATATCAGGTGCCCATTGATGAAGACATCATAAGGAAAAGATAGCGGTGGATAGGGCAGGCACACTCTGCGAAAAAACTCAGATAGCATCACCAGAAATCCCTAACATGGTATCTATATTGGAAAATAAGAGAGGAAGGTTAAAGAATACATGGAGACGAGAGCTAGAGGCAGACACGCAAAGTATGGGTTGTAAGACCTATGCCCCAAACAGGGTAAAAGGTATAAGTAAGTAAGTCGGTGAATAAATAATCGTGACGTCGTGTAGTGAGTTCTGAGTTAGTGAGTGTTGAAAAAATATTTTTATTTTTACACTGCACAAACATTTACAAAAAGGAGGAGATTTTAAGGTCGATTGGCGACATTTTATTTAAAATGAAAAATATGGATACTATAATTATGACAACCCTACCCCTCTCGTTGACCTTCTCAACTCTCTTACTTAGGTAGGGCTTGCGGCTTAGAATTCATATTCTAGTCACATTTTAGACCAAGACTTTTAGACTGTGAGCGTTTCGTTGTTATAAGAATAGAGTTTAACTGTACAATTTTTTCCAATTTATTTTTGATATGTGAGATTTATCACTAATATAATTGTGCATTATTATATTTTGTCATGATTTAGCCATTTTGGGACTTGATCAATGTGGGAGTGTTGAAGCTAAAACGTCTTTTAAGAATTATTTATTTCGTTTCATTTTCAGAAAATTCTTGCATTTTTTTTGTTATCTTCGGTCTTGAAAATAGGGGAAGTAACCCTTTATGCGCGTCCATCCAAAATTTGCATTTTATGTGTCTGCATTTTCTCATTATAATTTAATGATTATAAACTTTATTTTGTATTTTATTGATTTCTGTTTGGTTCTTGGACATTTCATACTTTATATTTCACCATCCAGTGAGTATTAAGGATAGTATTAGCTTCAAAGTCATTGAATAACATTTTTAGTATCGAGGCCACTAACGTTCGCTTGAAAAAAATTGTGGCCGCCATTACTCTGCAGCCTGATAACGATTACGTGCGAATTAGATTAGCTACGTTGGTGGCACAGTGTTGAAAATTTTCGCTTTTTGCGCTAATATTTTATTATTAAGTTAATAACTTTTAACTTTAACACATTGAGATTAAGAGACATTTATTTACAAAGTGATTACTGCTTGTCATGTTATTTATAATTAGTTAAAATAATTGACATTTGTTAAAATGTGTGTAATAGTAATAATATATAGAATGTGCACATTTTTTTTACTGAGTAAAACATGCACTTTAACTTTTAACTTCAATGTTAACAGTACAGTACAATCAGTACAGTTACAGTGAAACATTGTTGTAGGTCTTTAGTACTCTTTAGATTAGTGACATTCATTGTGAGGATTAGTGAATTAGTGGTACTTACACTTACACTTCGGACACTGTGTACTGAGCTGTACTCCCCTTTTGTAGGGTCTATGGCATAGTGTATACCTATTAATTAATAATAAATATTTAGGCAGGCTTAAAATTAAGGTATTCAGTTTATTTATACAATATAAAACAGATTAATGGGCCAAGGACCAACTAACATAACTAAAAGAAAAGCTTAGCTGTAGGCACTGTAGCAGATGAATGCCTTATATATTAATACAATATGTTAATATTATACTTATAATAAGGCGTTCAAATTTTAAGGTTTACTTCCCTATTTCCGGCTAGGGCTAAGGACAATTATTAAAATTATTATTTTTGAAAAAAATATTAGTTGAGGAGAAAAATATGATATGAATAAGTATCAATTTCAGTAATAATCACATCAACATGATATTTCATATTATTATATCATTATTATTCATTATAATTAAAAATTAAATATATTATTTATTCTAGTACACTTCATGCGTTGAAACTTTTTGAAAAATTACATTATTGAAATGGTGTAGCAGAGTACCTGGCTCAATAACGATGGATACAGGTAGCTGTCTGTCTTAATCATATAAGGTATCTTGAGCGTCACTCAATAGTACTGATATTTAGTATCATTATAATGAATTTATTGACAGTTTCATGTTTACTTACCATTGTTACATAGGTGCCTCACACATTGGGCTTGGCATTGCAACATTTTGACCAGCAGATGCTGCATTCAATGTAGAATAGCAGAATACTTCAGAAGCTCAATTTACTTGGCTGACAATGGAGCAAACTATTACCATGATGTCTGAAGAAGAAATCCCAGAAGTTGGTCCTAATGACATTGTCATTCATTTGGTTAATCCTTATAAGTGTGGTCTTTGTGAATTGGAATTTTTGGAAAAGTCTGTGTTTAAGGTAATTGTTTGTTGTTGAAATTGAAAGGACATGTTTTGTCAGATGATTCACTTATTTTTTAATGGCAAAATATAGTTTTCATAAATATTTTTAATCATTTATATATTTTTTTAACTTAAAAGAAATAAGAAAGGAATGCAAGATAAATAATTATAATTTTCCTCGATATAAATTTAGTTTTATTAGTGAAAATTCAATGAGGTTTGTGTACATATATATTATATACTGGTATATATATATATATTATACATATTTACTTACCGGCTACTTTTTAATTTATAGTTCAAATGGTCAATTAATGTAAAAATTGATAACTCTTAATTTGCTTTTTAATCGATTGATCTAATTTGATTTGGACTATTGACGGCTGCTACTATAAAATAAATAAAGATTGTTTTCCTTCTGTCACTCATAGGAGCATATGTTCTCACATTTGGAGCAAATCAAACAGGAACGTCCAAGTTCTCAAATAGTCATGAGCATTACCTTACCCCCTGAGACTCCAGGTGGTGTAACAGTCACAAGAGATATCTTGCAGCTTGGAGAGGATGGCTCAATAAAGCAAGTCTTACAGGTTTGTTGATAGTTTGAAACTTTCACTTCACTTCTCAAAATGTGGAGGACAAGTTGTGTGAATTAAATTGATTTCCTGAGATATGATTTCTGAGTGTTCACATTTTACTTTTAAACACTTACTTAAACTGTGACTTATCATCAAATGTAACATAACTTTTTAAGTTTAAGGATCTACCTTAAAAGTCAATTGATAAAATGTGTTTAAATATTGTCACTGTAACTCTCTATTGTCTAAAACCAATTGTCTGTTGTTTTTAAACATTTATTAAGATTTAGAACTTTTCCTTGTCTTTAAAAATATTTTAAAAATTTCTTTACTGGAAAGTACATTTTCTGTCACATGATCCAGCCAAATATTAAAAAGTTCATTTTAAAGTTAAAAGGTTTATTGTCTCCTGTAAAAATTTAGAACACTTGACATAAATATTTAGAGCAGGGGTGTCAAACTCAATCATTCGTTGCGCCAAAATTTGAATCACACGTAAGGTTGCGGGCCGAACAGGATAAACATTCAAAAGCAGAAAATTAAACCTTTTTTAAACATTAATATAAATTAAAACAGAAAAAATGTTACATTTGTTAAAAATCATTGACATACCCATTTTCGCTCTTATGCCAGTTTGTCAGAGCTGGATGTTTGGCATCTTTTCTTGGCTACAAGTTCGTTTAAGTTGGGAGTAACAATCTGTGTCATTGAGATTTTCTCATGATGGACTGCAAGTGTTCATCAGTGAGACGACTGCTCTGTGATGTTTAATCTTGATCACAGAAAACAGCTGCTCACACATATAAGTATTACCCAACATGCTCAAGGTTCGAGCCGCATGTAGACGAAGCTGGGGCATCTATTCGGGAATGAACACAGGCCCCACAGTGTCGTACTTTGCCTTTAGTGTCCCATTACACTGCAATTCTATAGCTCCATCTGGAAATTTACAAGTGAAGCTGCCACGTCTCTATGACAAATGGGTTACGAAACAGCTCAAAATTACTTTTCTGTGCTTCAAAGTCACTAAAGCGCCATGGGAACTCTGCGCGAAGTAAGCTAAGTTTTTCAGCAGAATGTGCATTGAGAAACACCATAGCCTTGACTCGGTTCAACTTTGCTTGGCAACAAGAAAAGTGAGACAAGTTGCATTGGTGCATTTGTGTGTCACATAAGCGCAGCTTCACTTGAAATGCCTTCACGGCATCATGCATATCAGTGGTATCGTCCCTGGAGCTGCAGGTTCAAGTTATTGAGATTAGTGGTTATGTCAGACAGAAACCCCAACTCACATTTCCACTTTTTATTCCGAAAAACTGTGGAGTCATTTCCTTTGCTGTCCATGAATTTACAGATTTCCTCAATCAGCTGGAAAAATCTACTAAGAAATTTTCTTTGACTTAGTCACCGCACATCTGTATGATAGGGCATGTCGCAAAAAAGACTGAAATGAGCGGTGATTTAAAACTTTAATCATGCAACGCATCAGAAAGTCTCCTGTAGGGCATGTCGCAAAAAAGACTGAAATGAGCGGTGATTTAAAACTTTAATCATGCAACGCATCAGAAAGTCTCCTGTAAATTGGCCGGCCTGATTTTGCGATCTTTCACAGCAGCTTCAGTTTGTGATTTTCGTTTGGTGAAAAACATCTGCTGTGGTATTCCTCTTCAACTCCTCTACCTTCTGTCACTTCTTCTCTGCATTCAGGCTTTTTAACTCGTCTGGATGTTTAGTCTCAACTCAACTAGAATTATACAAAAGGGAATCAGCCAGCAACGTTGATATAAATCAGCAATGGGAAAAGATGAAGCATATAGTAAAAAGTGTAACAGAGGAAACGATTGGATTTAAGCCCGTAGTGAAAAGAACAGGATTGTATGACACAGAATGCAAAGAACTTATAGAACAAAGGAACAAGTATCGGCTAATAATGCTGCAAAGGGAGACAAGAGGAACATGGCAATTATTTAATGAAGCAAGAAGGGTGGCTAACAAAATTTGCAGAAACAAAAAACATGCTTGGGAAAAATAAAAAATAGTAGAAATTGAAGAGTTGGCAAAAGAAAGAGATGTGAGGGGAATGTACCTGAAGATAAAGCAGGAAAAGAATGGCTTTCAAGGAAGATCCCACATGTGTGAAAGTACGGATGGAGAATTAATCACAGAGAGCAGTAGAGTACTAGAGAGATGGGCACAGAGAGCAGTAGAGTACTAGAGAGATGGGCACAACACTTTGCAGGCTTACTGAATGGCTCAGGTGGAGGAACCAATGAGCATTACGCTCTACCACAAGGAGGACAGGACCCACTGATCAACCAACCGACATTAAATGAAATAAAAGATGTGATTTTCACCATGAAAAATAACAAAGCCCCAGGAATAGACCTTATCACTGCAGAACTGATAAAGCTAAGTGGTAACGAACTGCAAAGGCAAATACACGACCTCATAACCAGAATCTGGCGGGAGGAAGAAATGCCAATAGAATGGGACACTGCACTCATAATCCCTATTCACAAAAAAGGATCGAAGCTGGTCCACTCAAACTACAGAGGAATCTCCCTCCTTAAGTTAATGTAATGTACAAAATCCTCACAAAACTTAAGCAAGAAAACTGGAAAGATATAGTGAACAGACCCTAAGGGATTACCAATGCAGATTCAGACAGAATAGGTCAACCACGGATCATATTTTTCTACTGTTAGATGTCTCTTGTAGAGATGTTACGAATATAACATAGACATACACCACTATACATGATCTACAAAACAGCATTTGATAGCGTAGACAGGAATTACTTATACAATGCTCTACAAGAACTTTGAGTCCCTAACAAGCTTACTCAGCTTATACATATGACGATGGCTAACTCCAAAAGTAGAATCAAAGTGCAGGGAGAGTACTCAAAGGTGTTCCCAGTCAATCAGGGCCTCAGGCAAAGAGACTCGCTATCATGTATCCTGTTTAACATCACACTAGAAAAAGTTATTAGAAGCATACACGTGAGCACCAGTGGAACCATAACAAGCTACTTCCAGAGAGGTATTACAGAACAACAACTATCAGGAACCTTTTATAGCCAGCCATTGCAGTACCTGGCATACAAAGGCAATATAGCGCTACTGGGTAGAAACAGGAATGACATAATTAAAGTTTCACGGAACTTGAACATGCCTCAGTCTAAGCTGGTCTTGAAGTAAATGAAACGAAGACAAAATATATGACAATGTCACGAAACTCCCACACTGATGACAACATCTATATACTATAAAAGAGCACAATGAAATAAAGTCAGAGGTGAAAGAAAGGATCGCAGCTGACAACCGTTCCTATTTCAACCTACAAAAGCTACTGGGAAGCAAAAACCCCTCAAGGGGAACAGAAAAGACAATATACACTTCTATCATAAGACCAGTAGTAACTTACGCTAATGAGACTTGGACTCTTACCAAAAAAGCAGAGAACCTTCTCAATACATGGGAGAGGAAAATCCTCAGAAAAATATACGGCCCAATGATGTAAAATGATATTTGGAGAATCCGTACAAACCAAGAGCTATACCAATTGTTCAAAGACCCACCCATAGTCGCAACAATAACAAAAGGCAGACTGTGCTGGGCAGGACATATTGAAAGGATGCCAAAATGTAGAGCAGCAAAGGTGATATACAGGCAGAAACCTAGGGGCAGACGACTCACTGGTCGCCCAAGGCTGTGATTGATTGACGATGTGGAGAGGTATTTACACCAGTTGGGGGTTCGCACATGGAGACGGAAGGCCATGGATCGATCCGTATGGAAGGATGTGGTGAAGCAGGCCAGGACCCTACATGGGCTGTATCGCCACTAATGATGATGATGTTTAGTCTCGTAGTGCCATCACAGATTATATTCCTTGATCACAGCCACATTATCTCCACCAATTAGACACACAGGTTTACAGCCAATATTGGTAAACATATATTCAGCCTCTCATCTGCTTAGAAAGGCTGTGGTTTCAGAATCAACTTTTCCCTTGGCCATTTAAAGCCAGGTTTGATTTTTAAAAAATGATTGTGCATCTACCAACAGACATTTGATTAATATCATGTTAGCCTTAGCGGGGAAAGGTGATGTAATATCCAGGCACTACACTACTATCATTTCTTATGTGCCAATCCAAAACCAGCAACTGAACGTTGCTAGGTTACTGTAATGACAAACATCCATTCACTAGACAACTTTAATTTTTGCTTTTTCGGATTGAAGCGAGAACGCTCTCAGGTAGCCTACCATTCGGCACGGCTGCTAATTAGGGAATTTGATTTGCACTTTATATCACAAGACCATTAAATAATATTTTTGCCTATAATTATGTCTCAGGCCTGATACTAATATTATTGTACAGCGGGCCAGATTTGGCCCGCAAGCCTTGAGTTTGACACATATGGTTTAGAGAGTTACAGCAACAATATATTATAAGCTGCACATTTTATACAAACATGTTAACTTTTTACGAAATTTTTTGAAGTGTATCTTTCAATACAGAGAAGGTTTAAGTTTATTTGAAGCAATTTTTAATTCTTAGAACAATTTATTTTTATTTACATTTACCTCATAAAAAGAAAATTTTTCAAACCACTAAATGAAATATTTCTCACTTCCAATAGCCAACTCACAACATGACCTTGAATCAAGTTTCACCCCTAAGAGAGTTAGAAGAGGCAGGAGTTATCAAACTAGATTTTCCCAAACCACCTGAAGTGATAGCATCAAAAAGGATACCAGTACCAGTACAAAGGTCCACTAGCACTGTTACACACATAAATATTGCTCCACAAACACAACCTCTAGAACTGATTCAAGATGGCTTCAGCTCTGTTGTTAGCACTACTGGAATGGAAGATTTATTGAAACAAACTAAAGCAGATGTTGAAGGAAACTCCGAAGTGTCAGAAATAGGTGAAACTACTGAGGGTTTTCTTAGTTTTGCATTTAAAGGCCCCAATGATGAAATGCAGCATATTCAGATTATAAGACCAGAAGGTGCAAAAGCTGTGGACATGATGTTAGAACTAACTAATGCACAAGGGGCCAAACCAGGTAGTCGTGGAAATGGTAACAAAAACAACATTTGTGACATTTGTGGGAAAGTTTTGTCCAGCTCCACAAATCTACTTAGACACAAAATGTATCACAGTGCTGAACGTCCGTTTGTTTGTGAGGTATGTAATAAAGGATTTAAAGATGTTTGCAATCTGAAAAAGCATACGATGATACATAAAAGAATTTTTCCATGCTACTTGTGTAAAAAATCTTTCTTACGCAAGTCTCTTTTGGCTTTACATTTACGACGTCATGAGGCTCGAACTGCTCTTGTAAAAACTGGAAATAGCATGAAAGAGGTCACAATGAGGACTTTCGTTGATGAAGACGGGACCAGGGTGGAGGAGATGAGTATGGCGGCTCTTGGGGGTCAGACTTTTGAATACAAGCAGCGAATTGTTAAAGCTGATCCTGGAGAAATTGACAGGCAGGTAAAAAAAGAAATTGAAGCAGAAATCAAAGAACTTGCAGAAGCTGTAACTTCAACTGAAGGAGACACAACTCCACCTCTGACAGTTGAGGATTCAACTGAAAAAAAAACAACCACTCAGAAAACTGTGTTCATGGTCACCTCCAATGGATTACAGGAAACTGTTATTGACCAAAGTACGAGCACGGATGATAATTCTCTACTTAGAAACTCTGGTAATTCTTCTGCTGAACCCGTTGATGCAGATGATATGCCTGACTTGAAAATTCCAGTCGTTCCTGAAGAGTTTGTTAAAATGTACCAGTGTGGACATTGTGGAAAACGGACTGTGCAGCGAGGGAATATGATGAGACACTTGATTCACCATTTGAAAGAGAAACCTTTTGCCTGCGATGAGTGTCCAAAGCAGTTTGTGGACAAAGGAGAATTGGTCAAGCATAAGAAGACCCACTCTAAGCCCTATAGATGCCCACAATGTAATGGAGCTTTTGCTCATAATGCACAACTGCTGAAGCACCTACAAGGAGCCTGTTTGGGAAGCATGGAGACACTCAACTATACTGTTATGGAAGATGGTAAAACTTACCGTTGTGATATCTGCCGAATTGAAATGAAAAGACTGGGCAACATGATTAAACATGTTGGAACTCATAGTAGGAAATCATCTTGGAACAGGAATCCAGGATTGGCACAGAAGAAAATCAACTTTTTAAAATCTGCTTCAGGTGAAACCTCCTTAAAGAAACCTGATGCTGCTTATTATTATGACTCGAGTCGTAGGGCATATTTTTGTGGCTTCTGCTCCAAATCCTTTTCTTTAAAACTTCATGTACAGCAGCATGTACGAGTTCACACAAATGACAAGCCTTTTCCTTGCCCCGACTGCAAAAGATGGTTTCCTTGTGCGGCCACACTTAAGAGGCATTTACAAGTTCACACGAAGCCATTTAAGTGTGAGAAATGTCCTTCTGCTTTCTCACGAAAACTTTTCTTGGATTCCCACAAGAAAAAGCACAATGAAAAAGAGCGGGTGGAAGAAACACTGGATTATGGCCTTATGGATGACAAATCAGGCTATTTCTGTAAACACTGTGAGAAAAAACTTCAGAATAAATACAGAATGATGAGTCACGTCAGAGGCCACCTCAACAAACGCCCATTTGAATGCATGACCTGCAATAAGTGTTTTAGTCATCAGTACATGTTAATGAATCACAAGAAAATACACACAAAGCCATTTGTCTGCAAAGTGTGTGGGGAAACATTCAGCAGAAAGTTCTTTTTGATTGTTCATAAAAAGAAAACACACAGCATTAAGAAAGAGGAAGTAATTGAGGAGGCAATGGAAACTTTTGACGAAGATGACTCAGTTTCAGAAGATAGACAGGTTTTCCCATGCTCAATTTGTGGTGCTCCATTTGCAAGGCTTGTCATAAAAATGAATCACGAAAAGAAGTGCTCGGAAGAGAGTAAAGTCATGATGAGGCTCCCAGAGGGCAAAGGTTTTAAGTGTAAAATATGTGGTAAAATTGCAAGTCTGAAGCATAATCTGATGGTTCATATTCGCAAACACACAGATATTGTTATATTAGACAATGGTGGCCGAATAACAGTTATAGATGAAACCTTTGCCCAGGTCAATGAATCAATCAAATCGGCCACCTCTGGAGATGACAGCCTAACTGGACATGAGAACAAAGCTCCGGAGAAATCAAGAAAAGCCAGTTTATCAGTTGTGAAAAGAAGAGGAAGCAATGCTTTGAAATTTGACTCTGATAGTGAAGAATTTATAGGAGATGAAGCATTTGATGAAGAAGCTGATTTTGCAAGCAATAAAGATGGTAAATTCAAAAGGACACCTGGTGGCTTTATTTGTCTGGACTGTCGACGAAAATTTACTGACCTTGACACCTTAGTTAGGCACTTAGAGGATGCCCATGGAGAAAATGTAAAGCATGAAAAAGTCCCAAATGATAATGATGCAACAGGAGAGAAGAATAAACCTCAGGATGAAGCTGTTAAAGAAAAGGACAATGAGAAAAACAGAGCTATAGATGAGGAACCCACAAAAGCAACTCCCATTTCAAAGGTGGGTAGGAAGTCACTGAAACGAAAACATGGAAAGTCAGAAGGTAGTGGTAGACCCTTAAATTTAAATGAAAAGTATCCTTCAAGGAATATGAAATCCCCAAAACAGTCAGCCACCAGTACCGGTACTCCAACTTCAAACATTAAGCTTGAAAAGAATGAAACTCTAGATGAGACGTTAACAAAAAGTTTAAATCGTCCTTCAAGAATTCAAAAAATGCCTTCTCGATTTCTGGAGTAGTCCTGTTTGATCTTAAAACTACAGCAGCGAAAGATCATTTGATTTCAACTGGCATTTGAAAACTTGCTTGTGGAAATTTCGGCAACATTAAAGGACCTGCCTGGTGCTTGTATGGAGTTAAGTTCATTTTTAAAGACTTTCTTTCTACTCAGAAATCCATGGGTTTATCTATAAGTTTGTAGCATAATTTTGTGTTGTGGCATGAGCCATCGCGTTGTCGATGCAGTCTTCCTCGTTCTGACCTTAAGGTCACATCTGAGATGACACAGCGTTACAGCTCCAGTGTGCTGTGTCGAGGAAGGGGTTGAGGTGGTGAGTGATTTAAAAAAACAACCCTACTTTCGCTTACAATAACCATTGGACCTAACTGTATGAGTTTGGGATGGCAGGGGGGGGAAGGTGCTGGGGCAAGGCATTTCGGCAATAAGATTCTGATCAACTGACGTCAAGGCAATCAGTGGTTAAATTTTACTTTTTAGTTTTATGTCTGGGTAAAGAGCTAAGTCACTATACTCAGGATTTTGTAATCATTCAATGTTCTTTTGTGAATTATTTACAGATTTAAATTTTCGTACAATACTAAAAAATTTCAAAATAAAAATAATAAAATTTAAAAAGACGTTTCAAAACGACTTTCTATCAAACACAAGTTTAAATGCAATAACAAGTAGAAAATAATTTAAAAACATCTTAATTTGCAGAAAATATTTTCTTCAGCTAAATAAGGTGATCATTGACACTTCTGCACAGTCTTTCTTGTAAAATGCATTTTAAGAGATTTATAATTATTTTCTTCTTTTTAGTGCATTTAAACTCATCTGGGATAAAAAATTCTTTTTTAAAAAAAAAGGTCTTAAAATACTTTTTTTTATTACACTATACTTATTCATATTTGTTTCGTTATTGGCAAACATTGTTTACATAATTATGTGGACAAATGTGTGTTTATGAAAAGTATATATGGCACAAAAGCTGAAACCAATATTGATATGAGAATAGATGATATTAACTTTTTATAATACATGTATTATATCTATGAATCATTATTGTGCTTAGTTATAAATATTTTTACTAAAAACAATTTCAACTTATTTTTGTTTACAGGCATAAAATTATACTTCAGAAAAATGCTGTTAGTACTTTTAGCCGTTTAAAAAATCATTTTGGACATCAGTTTGGGGCAGCCTGCAGCAAAAGATTAGTTTTGTAACTGAACAATTTCATAGTTCATTATTTTGTTAAAACAAAATATGAGGCTCTTGCCATTTTCTTATTGTAAATAAAGCTTTTTTAAAAGGCTTAGACTTAGATCTACTTTTAAAAACGAATGTGTTAAAGTAGAGAATTAAATCATGTCAACTCCCTGTAGAAAGTCATTTCATTTGTGATTCATATTCTATAGTCTAAGTAACTGTAAATACACCATGTATATTTTGATTTCCATACTGGATTTAAAAGGCTGCTGTGGTAATAGTAGATTTATAGGCCAAAGAAAACAAATATATGTATTAACATTTTTGTTTTAGTTCATTAAAAAGCAAAACTTGTTATAAATTGTTTTTGAAAACAAGTTTATACAGTGCAGAAATTATGCAAATAAATTTCACATGTGTTACAAGTGTTTTGTTTCATTTTGCACTAATTAATTTATTGATGAAGTGGATTCTTTTTAGACCTAACCTTCTTAAATACTTGTGTATCCTTTGATTATATTATCTCAAATTAATAATGTGCTCACTTCTTGCATATGTTTTTTTGTAGTTGCTGTCACAATTGAGTACGAGAAATTATTTTGCCTGTAACTTTTTTCAGAATCATTATTGGTTTAAAACATTTCATATGCTGCTTTTAGTATTTTATATTATTATTTGAAATTATTGATTGTATAAGTAGAAGGTTCCAATGTTCCAAATGTAGAACTCAACAGCATTTGTTGATGGATAACGAGTTGTAAAAACTGCATGTGATCCATTTTAAAACCTTGCCATAGTGCACTGTATGTCAGTTAACAATGAGAAAAATATATTATTTATTATGTTCTAGTGGCGTTGCATGTTACATGTTTTAATTTAGTATGTCCTTACACTCAGAAGTAAGAAGCTGTGGGACAAATTTCCATTTTGCACTCTGTCATGGAAAATAATATGAGGCTCTTACACTTAGCTAACATCTAGTTGGACAGTCCTGTTAATATGTTGAATAGGATTATTACTAGGAATATTCTTTGAAACTAATTAAACAACACATAGTTGTAAATAGTTAAAATGATACCGGTACTGTATGTCAAATATAAAAAAGGAGCAAGGTTTTGTTTCTGTCTGAAACATGTTGGAATACCGATATAAAGCTTGGAATTAAAGGAGATATGTTTTTACTCATGTAGTAAAATATAGAAAATATTAGTACCTGTAATTTATAAAAAAGTAATTATTGAATGCTTTTGTACAGTTAAGTTTTTTATTACGGTAAAGAAAAGTTTCAGAAAAAATAAGCACCCGGACAAATTGTTTCTGTAGTTTGCATTTTTTCTTTGATTTGATTTATTTATCAAATTTATGATTTTGTTTTTAATGTTAGTCAGAATAACTCACTACTAGTCTTAGTAAATTAGTAATATGAAATTTTATGATGTAAAGACTAAATATTAAATATGTAAATACTTTTGTAATAAAATTATATAAATATGGTTTTCTTTGTCTTCTATTTGATTGGTTCATTTAAGGAGTTTTGCTTGTAAATTGCTATTGAATGATTCACTTGCTAAAGATACTTGCCTTGATTCAATAAAAAAAATGTCAGTCCAAGGGAGCAACATAAAAAAGTAGGATAAACTATTGACACTATTGTGTGGATTCTGTTTTCTGTCATCACTACTGGTTACTATTATTTAAGTGTCAGGATACAGGAAAGTTCCCCGTTTAGGCTTAAGCTACTTATGGCAATGGCTTTAAATTAGGACTATCACAGCCAGAGATCAAATCTAATTTTATTAGCTTGTTAATCAACAAGTTAAAAAGTTTTTATTCTTAAGTTTTTATAATGCAGAATCAATTTAAAGGTTGTCACTAAATACCATTGTTTGTGGAAGTATAAATATTATTGTCAGTATAGCTGATAATTGTAGTATAGTTTCTAGCTGTTATCATCTTCCAATGATGTAGCCAGGCGTTGCTCTATCATAACAATGGGCATAGTAGCTGATTTATCATTTTTCATCTTGCGGAACTGATATACCAGACACATCAACATCATCCTCATCTAACCATTTAGCTCTTAAAAATAGAAGCATTGTCGGTGTGAGCAATAATTGTCATAAGCTCTCTCTATCTCCTCGCGGCCACTCGCATTGGTCGAATGCTTTTTTTGTTGAGGGGCAGGTGGTAATTTCTTATGATCAAGAGTGCATTGTCGGTGCTGTTGAATGTGCTTTTCCAACATGACTTGTGATGCAAAATAGATGTTATAGATTTTGCAAATCCGTTCAAGCAGTGATGTTATTATTGTTACTCACTTTACTTTCCCCTAATTCTCAAAATATCGTATTCCTACTCTTATCAATATCATTTATCTTGACTGCACATGGCACTTGAACCTTGTCCTTGTTCCATACCTACAACATGATCGCAAACATACCGCCCTAGTCATTTGCAACAAACAGAATCTACAGGTGAAGAGAGGCTAACTTTTGACTTCTCTTGCCATCACTAACTAAGTGTGCTAACATTCTGACAGCTATCTACAGTGAAATAAGTCTTACATTTTTAAGAGCCTAAAAATTATATGACTATGTACACTCAATATTTTTTTTTTTTAATAGAGGAAACTTGATTGTTGACGTCAACTAATCTACCCCTCCTCCCCCTTGTCAACAATTGTCAAACATTTTCACCACCCACCCCTCTTTTATTGACATAATTAATGGATGCCCCCTTGTGGACTTAATATTTCAATGTGAAATATCTCGAACTTTAACAAATTTATTTGATTAAATCTAAATATTCTAAATATTCAATATTAAATAATAACGATACTTTAAATGTTTACTCCTATTTCTCTGTTTATATATAAGTATCCCCAAGACTTGGAAGTAGAGATTGCAATAATCAGTAAGGAGTCACCAAAGTTTTAGGGTTAAATTAGTAATAAGGGGAGAGACTGCAATCAGGTTAGCACACTATAAAATGAGAAAAACACATTATTATTATTTTAAAAATAAAAAAAAAAGAAATTATAATGTTGTCTCCCCGGCGGGGAATCGAACCCCGGTCTCCCGCGTGACAGGCGGGGATACTTACCACTATACTACCGAGGACACTATGAGTAGTGGGACAAACACGTAAGCTTTTTACAAAAAAAAAAAGAAAAGAAAAAAAAAAGGCACTGTCATGTCTCATTTTATATTATATTATATTTTAGTTTCAGGCTTTGTTCTTTCCTTACAGTCTTGCAGTGTTACCAACCGTCGAAAAATTTACAGAAAGTTAGGTACACATATATAATTACTTGTCCGCATAGAGTCGTCGAATGCCTTTGCCTTATTCATCTGAAATCATAATAATTATTATGAGTAGTGGGACAAACACGTAAGCTTTTTACAAAAAAAAAAAAGGAAAAGAAAAAAAAAAGGCACTGTCATGTCTCATTTTATATTATATTATATTTTAGTTTCATGCTTTGTTCTTTCCTTACAGTCTTGCAGTGTTACCAACCGTCGAAAAATTTACAGAAAGTTAGGTACACATATATAATTACTTGTCCGCATTGAGTCGTCGAATGCCTTTGCCTTATTCATCTGAAATCATAATAATTAAACAAACTTACTTAATAAACTCTTGGTCTTTGAGTTTGAGCACTCTTCTTGACTCTCACTCTCATTAATACTCTGTCTCTGAGCCTAAGTATTATGTCGGCTATAACTATAATAAAACTTGTCACTTTTTTTAGAAATTTAATGGGAAACAATCTGTAATTATGAGACTCAGTGATCATATTAACATACACGAAGTATAAATTAAACACTAATAAATAAATAATTACCAATGAAGCTGATTTTCTGGGTCTTTCTCAGACTTTCTGCATCTCATTCTCATGACACTCACTACCTCCCGTCTCCCAGGAGTCCCACCCGCATCACACCAGGACCAGGTTAAGAACGCCTACCTTAGACCTACCCTATTTCATATTGACTTTTGTTTAAGACAATATTTAATTTTTTTTCTTTCAAATTATTATTGGAGTTTCCAGGAGCGGCCGTGTAGCCCTGAGACAGGGATGTCATGTCAGTTAACAAAAGAAAAAAACAAAACAAAAAATTTATGCGGAGGAAAACCAAAACGTGGTTGGCTTGTTCAGATGTTTAATTACTGGAAGTGTCACTGTAGCCTACATACAAATGCAAATAATAATTGCCAGATTACTATTTATGTTTTCTTTTGTTAACTCTCCTTATTTTTTCTGATAATTTTATTTTTTCTGCTGTCCTAGAAACTAAAACCCTGTGACAAAATTCTTGCAAATTCAGGGGCTCGGGGGGG